GGGGCCTCAGGTGGGCCCAGGGCGCGTCCGGGCGCGAGGAGACGCGCGGCCTCCGCAGGGCAGCTGCGGGCGCCGGCTCGTGTAGGCCCGGCGGTCACTTACCGGCGCCTCATGGTACCGCGGCGCCTCAGCCCAGCCCCGGGACTAACCAACTACGCCCGGCAGCCCAGGACGTCCCTCGGCTCCCGGGCCGTGCCCCACTCTGAGCCATTCAAACGCGGCCGCGCGCGCAGCCCGCCGGGATAGCTTCCCCGGGGAGGTCTGGCCGGCTCCGCCCAGCGCTGGCTCCGCCCTCCTCGGGTCGCGCAGGACCGGAGAGAGGGGGAAGAGGACGTGTGGCCATCATGCCCCCTGGTGGCCACGGGCCCGCACAGTAGTTTTGCAATGGGGCGGCAAGTAATAAGGCTGTAGGAACTGAGCTCTAGGAACTGAGGGTCATCAAAGAATGACCCTGAGCTAGTGACAGTCTGGTGAGGGAGACCATGCCTTAAATGTTGTCCCAGGAGATGAAACAATCTGCTATAAGTGCACGGAGAGGTGCACGGAGAGAGGTATTCATTCACTCCCATTTAAACGCACTAAGGCGAAGTATTTTTTTTTTCCTTTTAAGATCTTATTTATTTATTTGACAGGGAGAGAGACAGCGAAAGAGGGAACACAAGCAGGGGGAGTGGGAGAGGGAGAAGCAGGCTTCCCGCTGAGCAGGGAGCCCGATGCGGGACTCGATTCCAGGACCCTGGGACCATGACCTGAGCAGAAGGCAGACACTTAACGACTGAGCCACCCAGGCGCCCCTAAGGCGAAGTATTTAAAAGCGTGGACCCTGGAGCTACGTGATCTTGACCAAGTCACATAAATTCCTGTGTGTTTTGATTTGCCCAACTGTAAAATGGAGATTATAATGGTATCTGCCTCACAGCTGTGAGAATTAAATGAATTCATACATATAAAATACTTAGAGGGATGTGTCTGGCATATGGTAAGCACTATACCATTGTTAGCTATTATGTTTTTGTTCCCAATATGTGTCAGACTCTGTGTTAGACTCTTTAAGAACACAAGAAATATGGGGGCACCTGGGTGGCTCAGTCGTTAAGCGTCTGCCTTGGGCTCAGGTCATGATCCCGGGGTCCTGGGATCGAGCCCCACATCGGGCTCCCTGCTCAGCGGGAGGCCTGCTTCTCCCTCTCCCGCTGCTTGTGTTCCCTCTCTCGCTGTGTCTCTGTCAAATAAATGAATAATAAAAAAAAAAAAGAACACAAGAAATATGTATGATGCAAACCCTATCCCCCGGAAGCAAGCTCAGGCTTTTTGGTGTGGGAAACACTGGAATATGAGATTAGGGTTGGGTCTGTCCCTCACCTACTTTTAATCACTGAGGAAAATTCTCTTCATCATAGTAGAGACAGAGTGTACCCATCTTCAAAGGTAAACCACTGGTCAAGGTTAACCAAATTGTGACAGGAGCAAGATTGGTCTCTGCTAGGCCTCTCACCCCTTGCAGAAGCCAACCAAGTGGTGCATTCTTTTTTTTTTTTTTAAGATTTTATTTATTTGACAGAGACACAGCGAGAGAGGGAACACAAGCAGGGGGAGTGGTAGAGGGAGAAGCAGGCTTCCCGCTGAGCAGGGAGCCCGATGTGGGACTCGATCCCAGGACCCTGAGACCATGACCTGAGCCGAAGGCAGACGCTTAACGACTGAGCCACCCAGGCGCCCCTAAGTGGTGCATTCTTTTTTTTTTTTTTTAAGATTTTATTTATTTGACAGAGACACAGCGAGAGAGGGAACACAAGCAGGGGGAGTGGTAGAGGGAGAAGCAGGCTTCCCGCTGAGCAGGGAGCCCGATGTGGGACTCGATCCCAGGACTCCAGGATCATGACCTGAGCCGAAGGCAGTCGCTTAACCAACTGAGCCACCCAGGCGCCCCTAAGTGGTGCATTCTTGATGAAACGTTTCCTCACTGCAATTACCAAATTCCTTAACTCACTTTTTTTAGGCTCTTTTTTCCTGAACTGTCCAGGGCTTGCCTAAGCAATGGGTTGCTCATGTTTGGTTCGACAATATTTTTGAGGGCCTACCATGTGCCAGGTTGACATTGTACCAGCTGCCACAGATAGCCTGGGAGAGCTCATAGCAGCTTGGACAAACAGGAAAAAAGATCATTCCAATACACTGTGGTGAGTGCAATGATAAAAGTATATACTAAATGTTATGGGAGTTCAGAGTAATGGGAGGTCTGGTAGACAACTAATCAGAACTAAAATGTCATTAGATGATAAAAATAATGCATTTTTTTTTTTTTTTTTTTAAAGATTTTATTTATTTATTCATGAGAGATAGAGAGAGAGAGGCAGAGGCAGAGGCAGAGGGAGAAGCAGGCTCCCCGCGGAGCAGGGAGCCTGATGCGGGACTCGATCCCAGGACCCTGGGATCATGACCTGAGCTGAAGGCAGACGCTTAACCGACTGAGCCACCCAGGCGTCCCAAAAACAATGCATTTTTCTTCCCTAGTAACTTAATGCAAAAAATTAAGTAATGATGAAAGTTTGGGCCACTACTCTAGGTTGGTGGGAGAAATCTTTTAAGATATATTTTGCATAAGCAATGCCTTTGAGAGCCAAGCACAAGCAGGCACATGCCTATGTGTGGGGCCACACCTGTAACAGGTGGGACTATTGAGAGACTCCAGAAGGGTGAGTGGGGGAAGGGAGCAGGAACCCTGGGTTCTAGGGGTATGCAACATAGAACATTTCTTGAGTATGACTTCTACTAAGTAGGTGTGCTATTTTAAAGAAAATAAAAATCCAACACACATGGGTGAAGTCACTTTCTCTCAAGCTATTTCTTCATCACTATCATCATAAACAGGAATTTCCTGATGACCCACAAAAGGCACCATGTGGGGCCCTCATCAGAAAATGAGGAAAAGAGTGTAATACACAGTACCTTACCTTAAGGGAGGCTAGTTGATGAGAGAAGACAAATAACGGAGTCCTAGGACTCAAGGGAATCTGCTGCGTCAACATAGAAGGATCTCAGCTAAAACAAGGTCTCTGGTTGTCTGAGGCCAGAGGAGAATCCCGATATTCACATTTCTAGAGCTTCTTAGGGCATAGTCTCTCAGACAGTTGTCTCTAGACTCAGGTTCTGAGGTTATACCAGTGATGAGCAGCCCTGGCCCATGGGTCTCATGTGGCTGCCAAGTGTCAACATAACTTAAGGTGAAAATAAAGAAATTTGCCTTCATATTGCTATGTTTGAAATATATACCATTTTAGTGATGAGAATGCAGGTCAGTTTTCTTCATTGACACTTTTTAGTCACCAAAGTTGAATTCTTTTCCCTTGGAGTCCAATCAAGGTTTTTTCTTTTATAGATTAAAAAAAAGATTTAAAAAAAAAAAAGGGGGCACCTGGCTGGTTCAGTTGGTAGAGCATGCAACTCTCGATCTCAGGTTTGTGAGTTCAAGTCCCACAATCTGTATAGAGATTACTTAAAAAAATAAATTTTAAAAAAGTGCAGCCCATACATATTTTTATTATCCCTCCACCAGTCCTTGTGCAGAGAAAGGCGTGCACTGCTCACCCTCACCTTGAGCGGTCTCCAAGGGAATTTACTTCCCTGGCCATTCCCTCATTCCTTCCTTCTGAATACCTTATATTCCTTGTCTCTGAATGAACAGGCAGGTAAGTCAGGCTTTCTGCCCCCACCCCATCTGTTTTTCTTAGGGGTATGGATGTCATTCAGGGGTGTATAGAGTAACCCTGACCATAAACACTCATATGAGAAAAGAATTCTCATGCAAAGTCTTATGCCTCCTTCTAACTGGACCATTGGGGAGGATCGTGGGGGAAGATTTGAACCAGGCTTGAGAAGCTGGGCAGGATTTTGACAAGCAGGGTGCTCTGGAAATTTGAGGGGCAGGGGAGGGAGTGCAAAGTAAGTTCTAGGACCACTGTCTCTCCCAATTTGAGTGAGTGGAGGTAGCTCTGCAGAGTGGCGAGAGCAAAGACTGAAAAGGTATGTAGTCACTTGACAGGTTGTGAAGATCTGGAGTGATCAAGCAAAGGTTTTTGGGAAAGAAAAAAAATCACTAGAAACACTTAAAAGTCTATTACTCATGGATAAGCACTAATTTCCATTTGAATATATGTTTTTTTCAGATATTTTACTATGCAAATGTAGCTATATCTAAGAACAGAAATGAGATTATATCCTACTTACAACTTTGTAAACTGCTTTTTTATGAGCAATATCATATTACATATGTCAATCCATGACAATTAATATAAACGTACATAATAAAAATGGCAGTTAAAAAAAGGCATAGGCATTGAGGGAGGAAGTGATGAAGTTAAATCAGTACTTCAGAAGGATTAATCTGTCACTGGGTTGCAAGATGGCTAGTGGGAGGAAGAGAGGATTGATGGCAAGAACGTTAGGTATGAAAGTGTTGTAGTTCAGACCAGAGGTTCAGGGAGCCATAGCTTTTACTGTGCTGTGTGTCATTCTCATCAATGCCGACTGATGCCAGGCCTGATAAAGGACAATGCTTGAAAAGACCTAAATAAAAGACAGCAATAGCTCATCCATTCCGTAAGAAACTGCATCCACTGCTCAGCCTCAGAGCCTTTGGAAAATTCCAGGCACTTGACTTCGGCAGTCATAGTGGGAAATCAATCCTTTTTTTTTCTGTTCCTCCCTTCCCCACCTTCCTGTGTAGACTGTAGAGGAAGGAATGGCATTAGGGAACATTTCTGGTAAGGCCGTAGCCGTGGAAATGAGCAAATCTCACTCGTAGTTTACCAGATTCATGATTATTTCAATCACCACCACAGACTGATGCCCTCAATGGTGCAGAAGCAGCAGGGGTTTTTTGGGGGGCGGGGGAGGATTTGGAGGGTAGGAGTGGTGGAGATTGTTGATTGGTAGGGGATCCTTTTGTTAAGACAGTTTCTGAGGGCGCCTGGGTGGCTCAGTCAGTTAAGCGTCTGCCTTTGACTCAGGTCATGATCCCAGGGTCCTGGGATTGAGCCCCCATCGGGCTCCCTGCTCCGCAGGAAGCCTGCTTCTCCCTCTCCCACTCCCTCTGCTTGTGTTCCCTCTCTCTCTGTCAAATTAAAAAAAAAAAAGTTTCTGATGCAGCTCTCTGTTACACCTCTACAGATGGAAAGCAGGTGACGATATCCGCTGTTTATAGGTTTTCAAATCTGCATCCCAAGAGATCATTTCCCTCCTTCTCCCAGTAG